GGGGCTGGGAGGCTGGGGGACTGAGGGGCTGGGAGGTTTGGAGGCCGGGAGGCTGAGTGGCTGGGAGGCCGGGAGGCTGGGACAGCGGTTCAGGAGAGAGATGACGGAATTCAGATGAGGGAGAAATTGCTGCAGAGAAAGCATGGGTCTGAGAGTTAGAAGTAGCCAGACTGTGTGTAGATCTGACGGTGGAGGGAGGTATAGAGAAGGGGCGTCAGGAATGTTCTAAGAGTTCATCCTGAGCCACTGAACTGCGGAGGGAAGCATGGATGGGAAAAGGGGTGTCGGAGGCAGACTCCCCCAGATTGAGACATTGCTCCTGCCTGGTCCCTTCACTGGCTCCTCCTTCTGGAGGAGCACCCAGGACCACAGCCCAGCCTCCCACCAGCACCCTCCCGGGAGGCCACTGGAAGCTCGTCCATGTCTGCCATGGCTCCGCTCTGTACGGGGACACCTGCCCTAAGAATTGTGCATCCACTAAACCCAGGGCAAGGGAGTCCCCATGTGGCCACCACCAGCACAAGCATGGCTTACGACAAGAAGTGAGCAAATGAATTTTCCTGTAACAGACTTTTTACAAATGTAGTTTGCTGCAACAAACGACCTTCCATCTGGAGGTTACTTTCCAAAGTCCTTGGGAACAAGGCACAGACCAGTGGTTCCATTTGTGGGGCTGTGACAGGTGCCATGGGCTGGGTGCTCCATAACACGGAGAAGTGAATGAGCCCCAGTTCTGGAGGCTGGAAGTCCAAGACCAAGCCCCAGCAGGCTTGCAGATTCGGATTCCGAGATGGCACCTTGAATGCTTGCATCCTCACTTGGCAGAAGAGCAAAGAGGTGAAAGGGGCCGAACTAGCCTTGATCCCACCCACAAGGGCAGAGCCCCCCCGGCCAAATCACCTTCAAAGCTCCCACCTGTCAATACCGTTACAATGGCAGTTAGACAGCAGCATGAGTTCTGGAGGGGACAAACATTCAAACCGTAGCAAAACCCTTCTGTAATTCGGGAAAGTTCCCTTTTTAGTAAGTAGACACGCAGGGACACAGGATGTGTGAGGACAAGATACAGAATAATGATTCCAGGCAGTATGATGAGCTATGTAGACAGAAACTGCAAAAGAAGCAAGAAAAAGCCATTAAACACAGCAGCAAAACTTAACTGGATATGCAAATATTGTTTATAAACACCAGCAACACATAGATGCTCTGTGGCTTTAAAACATACCATTTACCACAGCAACAGAAAAATGATTAAGTTCAAAGAGTCACATGACTTTATGGAAAAAGTATAAAACGTTATTAAAAGATAATAAAGAATACCTATAGCCATGCCTCGGTGGCTCACGCCTGTAATTCCAGCACTTTGGGAGGCTGAAACAGGAGGATCCCTTGAGCTCAAAAGTCTGAGACCAGTCTGGGCAACATAGTGGGATGTGGTCTCTACAAAAAATTTTAAAAATACAAAAAAAATTTCCAGGCATGTGGTGCATACCTGTGATCCCAGCCACTGAGGAGGCTGAGGTGGGAGGATCTCTTGAGCTTGGGAGATGAAGGCTGCAGTGAGCTATAATCACATTGCTGCACTCCAGCCCAGGCAGCAGCAAGACCCTGTATCAAAAAAGAAAGACTATATGTAAATGGAGAGATAGTCACTGTCCACAGAAGAAAAAGGAGGAGGAAGAGGAGGGGAAGGGAGAGGTAGGGGAGTGGGGAGGTGAGACGGGGAAGAAGAGGAGAAGCAGAAGCAGAACTTGGAGAAAGAAGAGGTGGCGGTAGGAGGATTTGCTCTGACAGTTAATACGAAGCTATACTAATAAATATAGAAGATTATTGACTTCAGGGACAGATGGAAAGACCAGTAAAATGAATTAGAGAGCTCAGAAGCGGACCCGCATCTATCTAAAACTTAACGGGTGACAGAATGAGTGTAGCAAATCTATAGGGAAGGAAAAGGAGCGTGATTCATTGGAGGGTACTGATTTCCTATCTCCCACCTTGAGAAAAAGTGAATTCCACGTGAAAACTGCTGCACTTTACAGTTTCTAAAAGAAAATATCTGAGAATGTCATTAAGATTTCTACACACAGTTGGTCGTCCTAAGACACAAACAGGGAATCAATAAAGAAAAAACTGGCGCATCTGATTAAATTAAATTTTAAAACCTCTATTTTGCCCATAACTATAGAAACTGAAACGATAGCCCACAAAAAGAGGGAAATGCTTGCAAAATATACAATGAGCAAATAAATTAGTATGCAGAGTATTTGAAGAACTCCTACATATCAATAAGAAAAAAAAATTCAATACAAGACTTGGCAAAAGCATTCCCCAAAAGAGGAAACACAGATGGCTAATAAAACATGTGAACAATATTCAGCACCATCGTAATGAGAGAAATGCAAAATTAAAACAATGAGAAACCATTTTCCACCCACCAGATTGGAGAAAAATTTTAATAAGTGAACCTCGCTAGTCATCAGGAAAATGGAAATTAAAACGATCATGTGATAGCATTTCCATTCCCCACCAGCCAGTCAAACATTTTCTATCTAACAATAGATCTGGCTTCGAGTCACTGTGGAATAGCTTGCCTACACGTCCCGCAAAAGCTGGGCAAGATATACGAAGAGACTCTTTGAAGGCATGGGTTAGTAACCACACGCAGGCAGAAGCCAGCAGCTGACCCTTGAACCATGGTGGCGTGTGAGGTGAGCTGTGCACCCCGAAGCTCTTTGCCTGAGGGGATTCCTCAATCTGTGAGTCATGGTTCAGCAGATGCTGAAGTTCTCGTGGCTTGAGGTATCATAGGACAGTTCGGGGCTGAGAAAAGTGAATGGAAAGTTAGACGAGAAACCCTGAAAAGGAGGGAGCCACAGAGGGGGTGTGGCCCCAAATCTGTGTATTAAGTCTACTTAGATCTTCAGCCCACTGAACTGCACATATAGGGGAAAGGCTAGGTGGGCTGCAAGAGCAGCCACTGGAAGTGCAAAAACCAAATGGAGACTTTGGTGCTGCTCACCAAAAAGCAACAGAATTTAGAGTTTAAACCCAGCCAACTTCACGGCCACTGAAACAAAACTCAGCCCTCTTCAGAGGAACGTAACTGAATCCAGAGTCTCTACAAAGTGTCCATCATGCCTGCTGTGCGGGAAGAAGCTACCATTCATGCAAAGAGACAGGAAAATAAAACGTGAGCTACAGTTGGGAGAAAAAGAAATCCCTAGAAACCGACTTCAGCATGATCCACATGCTGGGATTAGCAGACTAAGGACCTGAAAGGGACCATGTAATATATTCAAGGACTAAAGGAAATACGGTCCTCACGACTGAACTGATGTGGAGTAAATGGCAAGTATAAAAAGGAACAGGCTGGGCATGGCTTTTCATGAAAAGGAGTCTCAGCACTTTGGGAGATTGAGGTGGGAGGATCACTTAAGCCCGGGAGTTCAAGACCACCCTGGGTGACAAAGTAAGACTCCATCTCTGCAAAAAAAGTCAAAAGTTAGCTAGGTATGGTGGTGCACGCCTGCAGTCCCAGCTACACAGGAGACTGAGCCCAGGAGGTCAAGGTTGCAGTGAGCCATGTTTGCACCAATGCACTCCAGCCTGAATGACAAAGCAAAACTCCATCTCAAAAAAAAAAAAAAAAAATCTAGAGTTGAAAAGTGCAGTTGTTAAAATGAAAATATTAGAGACAGCAGAAGGGTCGGTGAACTTGAAGACGGAATAGAAATTACTCCATATGAAGAACAAAAGAAAAATGAACTGAGGCCGGGTGACCTGCAGACAATATCAAGAGGCCTGGGGTGTGACTGGAATCCTGGAAAGAGAGGAGAGACCACCCTTTCACGTGGGAAAGTAAATCGCCCCCCATCACCCCCAGGCCCCAGGTGTTCTCCCCTGGCTGCAGCTCCCTGGGACCCATGAGCCACTACTGCAAAGATCTGTGTTCAAGGGTCAGTAACTGACAGGAAAGGCTCAAAGTGTCTTTTACTTTGGCCACCAGGACGAGGCAGGGTGACCTGCGGCTGCTTGCCTGGCTGGCCTCCAGGCCTGAGACACCTTCTGTGCTGGGCTCTGCGCTTACCTCCACAGCAGCAGGGCGGGGACAGCAGCGGCTTTGCTTCCGCACCTGCGTGGTATTTTGCCCTCTCCGGGATCCTGTTTGAATGCAATGGATTGTTGCTCTTGTCACTGTCACATGGGGTTATAAGGAAAAGCTGTTGGAAAATTCTGAAGGACTCGGTGCAAAAAGCACTGGAGCAGAGGTTGGGAGATCTGGGGTGCACCCTGAGAACTTCCCTCCCCTGCAGCACTTTCAAAGCCTGTAAAAATGAGGGTGGGGGCCGGGCACGGTGGCTCAAGCCTGTAATCCCAGCACTTTGGGAGGCCGAGGCAGGCTGATCACGAGGTCAAGAGATCGAGACCATCCTGGTCAACATGGTGAAACCCCGTCTCTACTAAAAATACAAAACATTAGCTGGGCATGGTGGCGCGTGCCTGTAATCCCAGCTACTCAGGAGGCTGAGGCAGGAGAATTGCCTGAACCCGGGAGGCGGAGGTTGCAGTGAGCCGAGATCTCACCATTGCACTCCAGCCTGGGTAACAAGAGTGAAACTCCGTCTCAAAAAATAATAATAATAAAATAAAAAATAAGGGTGGGGCCATGACCTGAAGCTCCGCCCAGCACCCAGTGTTCCCCGGCTCTCTCAATGGCCTGTGAGCCCTGCCTGCCGTCCTTCTTGGGATGTGGCAGCTCTACTTCCTTTACCAATCAGAAAGCCCCATTCGCGTTTGCTCAGACACGAACTGTAACAAGGGGGTGGGGGCGGGTGTGCAAAGAGGGTCCTGGGGGAGTTGAGATGGAGATGCTGCTGCCCCTGACCTCACTGACCCACAGGGTGCACCAGGCCCCTCCACGCACTGGATGTGGGTGAACCCGTTTAATCCTTCCTGCGTGTGGGTCATTATAACCCAGTATAGTGCAGACCAGGGAACAGGCGCATGAGATTCCATAAATGCTAGGTCCGCCCTCAGTAAGTGCCAGCGCTGGGTCCCCACTTGGCCCAAAGAAGGCAAGAAGCAAAGTGCCCAGGAGTCAATGGTCACTGCAAAGGTCATAGAGTCAGAGCCTCGGCTCTGCCGGGGGAGCGGAGAGGCACTGATTCCCAGAAAAGGAAACTCAATCCTAAAACCCATAATTTAAAAGTCAGGCAGGGGGAAAGGCGTTGTGACTAAATTTGGTTTGCCCTGAGCGGTAGGAGTGACTCTGAGCCCACCCTGAGAGCAGTGTCGCTGGCAGGAAGGGCAGCGGCCCCCTTGCCGCTTGCCCAGCACGGTTTTCACTCTGCTCCATCACTAATGGGCCCCGGGCCTCCTGCCAACTCGTGTCCTGGCAGTGCCATGCCCAGGGCCATCCGGAGACTGGAGGGAGACGCCAGGGGCAGCAGGACTCACGGACCCCGGAGTCCAAGGCCTGGAGCTGGTGGGGGCCTGCAGGTGGCACCCCTGGGAAGCCGGCCCCCCAGGCGGGACCCACACCTCTGCTTCTCTCCGCAGGTGAGCGCCGGGCCGCCCTGCTGGTCACCCGCGCGGCCTCGGCCTTCTTCCTGGACGGCCGGGCCCAGGACGCACTTCGGGACCTGCAGGAGGCCTTCCGCGAAAGCCCTTCCGCGGCGCGCAGGCAGCTCCAGGCCGTGTTCTCCGCCCCGGACCAGGAGCGCGTCCGGGCTCAAGCGCAGGAGGCCGCAGACGTGGGCTTCGCCCGCTTCCAGGAAGCCGTGCGGAACCATCCCGAGCTCCGCGAGGACGCGGGCCGGGAGCTGCTGGCCCCGGTGATCGGCGCGCTCCGCGTCCTGCTACGCCTGGCGCCTGCCGGGGCGCGACCCGCGCTGGGAATCCGCCTCGCTGAGTGCCTGCTGCTGGCGGGGGACGCGGTGAGGGCCCGGGCGCTGTGCGAGCGCCTACTGCGGCCTCGGCGCCCCGAGGACCCTGCTGGGGACCGTGCGGGGGACCGCGCGCCCCTCCTGGCCCTGCGCGGCTTCTGCGCGCTACACACCGGCGACACGCGGCGCGCCCTGGAGGACTTCCAGGCGGTGGTGGAGCAGGACGCGCCGCACCTGGGTGGCTGCGTGCGTGCACTGTGCGGCCGCGGGCTGCTGCGGGTGCTGGCGGGCAGTGCGTTCCTGGGCACGCTGGACTATGTCACTGCCTGCAGGCTGCGGCCCGAGGACGCGCTGCTGGCCGCCAAGGCCTTGGTGCCCTGGAACCAGCGGGGGCTGCTGCTGGCCGTGCTGCGGGAGGAGGCGCGCGGCATGCTGCAGCGGTCGCCGCGCCTCCGGCCGTCCAGGACGCAAGGTCGCCGCCAGAGGGAGGCCGTGGAGACCCGCGGCCCCGCCGCGCAGGAGGGGTGAGCACCCGCCGGCGAGCGCGCTGGGGCTGCCGTTTCACGTTAGTCTCCTTCGAGGCAGCGAGGGATGCGTTTCCTCCTGTTTCACGGGGGAATAAACGGAGGCAGAGTGGCGGTGACCTCCTGGGCACCCGAGGCAGGGCCAGCTCCTCGCGTCCATGTAGGGGCCGCAGTCCCGAAATGCAAAAGGAATATTCGAAGCGCAGCCCGCCTTTCCTTCCAGGCCTTTCGTTTCGTGCATGTAAATAGCTCAGCGGCCGGAGTCTGGCGGGACACGCGGTTCCTGCGCTTTTTCTACGCAGTAGGTCAGGACAATTCCCTTCGTGGCTAAATGTGCGTCGGGCAGCACCGCCCCGACCTGCACCCCGGCCGCGACTCCTGCCAGCAGCCTGGGGATTGTGTTTGTTTTGTTTTTTGTTTTTTGAGATGGAGCCGCGCTCTGTCTCCCAGGCTGGAGTGCAGTGGTGCGATCTTGCTCACTGCCACCTCCTCCTCCTGGGTTCAAGCCATTCTCCTGCCTCAGTGTCCCAAGTAGCTGGGATCACAGGCGCCCACCACCACGCCCAGCTAATTTTTGTGTTTCTAGGACGGGGTTTCACGATGTTGGCCAGGATGGTCTGGAACTCCTGACCCCAAGTGATCCTCCCGCCAGGGCCTCCCAAAGTGCAGGGGTTACAGGCGGTAGCCCCATGGCCTTTGCTCTTGGCGGTGCTCCAACGTGGGTCATGTCCTGTCTCCAGGAAGTCCTGTCCTGAGGATGGAGACAGGGGCGCAGTTCCTGAGTCAGGGAGCGGCCACTGTAGGATCCTTGACTTCAGGAGCTGCCATCCCCCTCACCCCAGCAATCTGGCCCCGCCCATCCCCCCCACCCCTGATGCCCATTTTGCAAATCCTTTTTTTAAATTTTACTTTAGGTTCTGGGGTACATGTGCAGGTCATGCGGGTTGTCGCACAGGTGTATACCTAACCGGGTGGTTTGCTGCCTCCACTCCCCTCTGACTATATCCCGCATTTCTCCCCATTTTATCCCTCCGCACCCTCCCCCAGTTTTGCAAATTCTTTGCAAGCACAAAGCCCAGCAGGTGACCCCCAGCTGCTCTGACTTCACCCCCTAACTGCTGGGAAGTGGCAGGAGGGGATTCAGGAAAGTTAAAAGCACTGAGACTGGGGTTCTTGGGGGGCATCATTGATGTCAGCCTCCACCCCAAGGCGTGTGTGTGCACGTGTGCACACACACACACACCCCACACACACTACAGATACACACGCCACACACACACCACACACACCACAGACACACCACACACGCCACACACACCACAGACACACACCACACACACCACAGACACACACCACACATACCACAGACACACACATCACACACACA